CAGGCTGGCCTCGAACTCACAGAGATCCACCTACCTCTGCCTCCCCAAGTGCTGGGATTAAAGGCGTACACCACCACCGCCCAGTTAGTTGTCATTTTCTTAACCGATATAAATTAGAATATACAACTTCTACAACATGGATGCACTACAAAACAAGCTGCTTAAAAGGAATAGGTGCAAGACTTTAGTCCCAGTACTTGAGAGGCAGAGGCAGGCAGATCTCTGTGAGTTCAAAGCCAACCTGGCCTACAGATTCCAGGACAGCCAGGACTGTTAGAGAAACCCTGTCTCAAAAAACAAAACAAAACAAAAAAAACAACAACAAAAAAACAGGATTCCAAAAGAATGGGAATGACTGTCCTAGGACTTTTCATACTCTACATATAATCTTCACTTTCCTAGAGGCTCTTATAAGAATAAGCAGACACTTTTCCCATAGTACTGTATCTACTTAGCAGTATGGCAGCAGGGAAAGAAATGACTTGGTTTCACTCTTGAGTGTTCTAACTAGTAATCAAACCACTAATAAGATCTTTCTACAAGCTACAATTTCTTCACTTAATGAAACTAAATCTGTGTTTCATAACCACTTTATTAAGAGCTATTAGATGACAAAATCAGAATGAAAGTTAAATTATGAAATATGATATATAAACATTACCATACAGTATAATGCAGGAAGGTAATCTGCAAAACAATGATTAAGTTTTAACATGTCTATAAAGGGACTTGATAGCCAAGGTAGACTTGATTCCATAGGAAATAATCATCCACAGATGTTACTAAGGAAAGCAAAAATAGGGTAGGGGTACAAGTGTGGGCCAGGCAAGGTAGCACAAACCTTTAATTGGAAGGCAGAGGCAGGCGGATCTATGTGAGTTCAAGGCCAGCCTGGTCTAATAAATGAGTTCAAGGGCAGCTATACAGAGAAACCCTGCCTTGCAAAAGATCAGATGGATGGATGGATGATAGATAATTAGGATTTTTTTTTATTTAAAGTATACATTTTTTCCCACTCCCCTTCCCTCATCTTCTCTCCCCTTCCACCCTCCTCCCTGGCCCCTACACTCCCAATTTATTCAGGAGATCCTGTCTTTTTCCCCTTCCTAGGTGGATCTGTGTATGTCTCTCTTAGCACCCTCTTTGTTTTGTTACCTAGGTTCTTTGGGAGACTACTTAAATTTGATATTTGATTTTTAATAAAAGATTACAGAGTTTGCAGAACACTTTTTAACTTCTTTTTTGCCGGGGGGGGGGGGGGGGGGTGTTCAAAGACAGGGTTTCTCTGTAAAACAGCCCTCTGGCTGTTCTAGAACTTGCTCTGTAAACAGGCTGGCCTCAAACTCACAAAGATCCACCTACCTCTGCCTCCCAGGTTATGGGATTAGAGGTGTGTGTCACCACTGCCTGGCTTGACTTGGTTTGGTTTTATGCTTATAGAAATACTGTTTTCATATGATTAAACTGAATTTTAATGTGTGTGTGTGTGTGTGTGTGTGTGTGTGTGTGTGTGTGCATGGCACTCAGATGCATTCAACTCGGGGGAGACTCTAAAGTGCTATGTTGTATATTTGTTGAAGTAAGGCAGAAACAGCTGAAGACACCAAGGCAAAGAATACCAAAAGTTAAAAATAGAAAATACAGACAAATTCTTGGTGAAAAGGTGATATTTGTGCTTGTGATTAGTCAATGGATGTTTATTATACTGCCCAGAGGTCACTAACAGCAGAATCCCTTCACATTAAAGTTCTATGAAAATGGCAAAGGGAGCCTGAAGTCTTAACGACTTCTGCTCACACCCCAACTTTGTAATTAAGGAGTCAGCTAACTCAACCTCTTTAAACAATTCTCTTTATAACACAATGCTATAACTAATTCCCTATTGTCTCTTATGGCCAAGAAAAGATTTAAGCTATATTTAGAATATTATTTTGAAAGTGACAATGAAATATGAATTTGCTTAAAATAGCACATATTTAATCACATACCAGTTGAATTTTAGGTACTGGGTTCATTTTCCAGAAGACATCATTAGCAAAAACACAGAAAGCTACAGTGCCACATTAGCAACGCATCTCATATACTTCAAGCTTAAAGAGTGAAATACTTTGCTTTAATTTTGTCAAGAATAAGTAATTCTAGTAACTCACCATCAAGTCAGAACCCTGGAAATCATCCCAGAATTTCTTCACTTTAACCTCCAATTAATTATTTACTAGTCAAAAAGCTCTTAAAAACTGTCCATGGGGCTGGAGAGAGCTGAGCTGTTAAGAGTACCTACTCTTGCAGAGGACCCAAGTTTAATTCCTAGGACCCACATGGCTGCTCACAATCACCTGTAACTCCAGTTCTAGGGGATCCAACACCCTCTGACCTCCAAGGACATCAGACACACACAGTACACAAACATACATACAGGCAAAACACTAATACACATAACACTCCCACTCCCCCCCCAAAAAAAGGAGTTGTGTTTTTTTGTTTTTTTAAATACCACTACCACTATTATTCCTTGTCTGAGCATTTTTCTCTGTGTAGCCCCAGATGTCCTGGAACTCAAGCTGTAGACCAGGCTGGCCTCAAACTCACAGAGATCTGTCTGCCTCTACCTCCTGAATGCTTAGTTTAATGGCATATGCTACCATGGCCCGGCCCTTATCTAAATATTAAGCTATTAACTAAACAGTGTTTGTCTCAAACTATAATGATAAGATTTCAGGTTGACTCATGTATTTAACATCTGTAAATGCACTCATTTCAGAAGACTGCCAAGAAAACACATCAACGGAAAACCAAAACACAGTCCTTCTAAAAGAGCCTTTGCATCTGTGCAAGCATGGATCTCCTGATTGAGAAAGAGTGCCCACAGTTATTAAAAATGCTAACCTGTTCTCAGTGCTCTTGAGACCCATGGATGACAAACAACCTGAAGTTCCTAGAAGCATAACAGCAAAGCCTCTGCCCCAATAAACGTCACAAAATCTTAACTTCAAATAAGAGAGTGTAAAAACAAATCTATCTACATAGTTACATTGGGTTTCTCATATAGTTTTTAAGGAGGCAAAAATAACCAATTTAGCATTTTGCTGTAATCTAAAGTTACAATAAAATGTTACATGCAAGGCAGTTACCTGAGGAGAGTCAAATGGATATCGACTACTAAACTTAAACAGAAGTTGAAACTTTTCCCCTTCATATAAGGTACCTGGTGCACCTTCCATGTCTACGATCCACCTAGGACAGAAAAAAGAAAAACAGAAACTGAACAAATTTAAAACTTAAGATTAAAAAGAACTGGGATAAAAGGAAAAAAGAGGTCATTGAGATGCCAGGCACTGAGCCAGAGTAATCCATGTGTAGTGGTGCACTTCATCCAACAACTCTCACACTGTGGTTTTTTTCTTTGTAATTCTTTATTGCTATGTATATTACATGTTTGAGTCAATTTATTATTGTATGGGGGACATGCACAACCACAGCACACATGTAAAAGTCAGAAGACAACTTTGTGGAACTGATCCTTTTCTCCCACCTCTATGTGGGTTCCAGGAGTTGAATTTGGTAGTAACTACCTTGTGCTTTACCTTCTAGGCTACCTTTCTGGTCCTCGGTGCAGGGTTGTTTTTTTGTTTGATCTGTTCGTGCTATATATGTGCTATATGTGTGCTAGTACCCATGGGGGTCAGGGTGACAGATCCCCTTGTGAGCCACCAGTGACATGGATGCTAGGACATAAGCTAGGGTACTCTGGAAGAGCAACAGCCCTCTTAATTGCTGAGCTCTCTCTCCAATCCCAGAGTAGGCTTTAAATACTCTCTTCCCTATCCTTCTATGACAATTGGAATTAAAGAAATTGGGTCAAGGTCAGAGCCAGGCTTGTAACCCAGATCTGAAACGAACTACAAACAAATAAAACTCACTTCCATATGCTAATACCAGTCTATATCATGCCCATCCTTTTAGATCACACCATCTTATTTTCTTTCAAAAGACTACTTTCTATAATAACTAAAATCATTTTGGACAACACCAAGCTCATTAACTGCCTTCCTGATCAGTGTCAGAAGCAATGGGAGAAACTGCTATCAGCAAAGACTACAGAGAATTGAAACTGACAAACCAACTTCCTGAGTAGTGGTCTAAGGAAGACTAAATGGAAGTTTAATTGATTCCCATCCATCTACTCTGAAGGTTACAAGCAATGCTCTCTACTGTCTTTCCTTGTTAACACACTTTCAGCAATTTCATAAAGCACATACAGTTTTCTATGACATCTACTGTAAGCTTGCTTTGTTTGATTTCATGTATAACAATCAAGAGCATAAATGTTGGTACCGATAATCTGTAAAGATCATCCAGTCTTTAGAAGAGAAGACAGAAAACAATAGCAGATGATAGAGGAGCATTTAGACGTGAACCTGTCAGTAAGAATGAGACTTTAATTATAGCTGTCACATGTTCACATGTCATTGCTGTAGTTAGCCAAGTCCTTTAACCTCATGCTTCTTGGGTACAAAAATATTCTTATTTTAAATACAGGAAAACTGGGGTTGAGGCTATATCTCAGCAGTAGAATACTCGTGGACCATGATCAAGGGCCTGGGTTTGGCGCCTAGTCCTTCCTGCCAGTCAATATCACCCACCCACCCATCCATCCATCTAGGGAAATCAGAGGAATATAGGGAATACTATGGTAAGGTTCTACTCATGTCTCATGTAGTAGGGAACTAGAAATGTATAAAATAATAACATAGTCAGGGAAAGAAATCAACTAAAGTACAGAAGCCCTTAAAATATGACAATTCATTTTCAGAATGCATGTTGAGTTCCTTAGATGTAGGAGGGATACCGTTGCGAGAGCGAAATGATACTACATATGTAAAGAACCACATGCATTTTTACCACCAGAGCTAGTATACAGTAAATTAAATATAACACAAAGCTGTACAGAAAGTAAAAAACCTGTAGGGGTATACAGTTCAATGGCAGAGTACTTGCATAGCATGATAAAGAGGCCTGTGTTCAATACCCAGCTACACCTGCACATACACACATGCTCAAACGTGTGCTTGCCCCCTCCATTAAAAACAAAACAAAGAACTAGGTCTTTCTCAGCTTCAAAATTCATTTTCTCCCATCCACCCACATCTATATGCCCCAGAGTGATAATCCAAGGAAACAATTTCCTGGTATGCCTTCATTTTCTTTATGTAACAAATTGTAGGACTTACAAACACAACCAATGTACTTTTAACATACAAAGCAGAGTTTTTAAATAACAGCAAAGCAAACGTATCATTAATCATGTACTATCTGCATGAACTAGGTCAATGACATGATTTCCAATACTGTGTGCCATAAATTTTTATCTTTGCTAATTAAAAAGTAACATATATTAAGTTTTGCTTTAAAATTCAGGAATTTTACTGTTTCACTGTTACATTTTGGGGGGTATATTTTATTATCATTATGCAGTTTACTGCATCACTGACAATAAGAAATAGAAATACAATACTTTTACTATGTGCACATTTAAATCACACAACTTTTCATCTTTATGAATAATTACTGTGCATGTGTACCATGTGCATGTGGATATGGATAACTTTATGGGGTTGGTTCTCACTTTCCACCTTCATTTGAGTTCTCAAGGTCACTAGGCTTGTGCAGCAAACACCTTTAGCAGCTGAGCCATCTCACTAGCCCCAGTCATACATATTGAACCATCCATCAGCGCTTAGATTCCAATCGTGAGCACACGCCTCAGAGTAAGGATGCCAGGGGAAAAGTAAACATACTTTTCTCTAGTGAGTCTCAACTCTTGAATTTCTGTGACTATTACTCTTTTTAAAAACTAATGGTTTGAATTTGATATTTACACACATTCTGGCTTCTAATAAAAGAAATAGTTATCTATTCTATTCCAAAGGAGAGCTGCTTTTGTGGACTAAGACAAGCAGCATACAAATGTTGTCTTTATTTGGGGCATGGCTTGTTCTTTAGGCAGAGTTCTCACCAGGTTGTCCAGAGTGATCCTGATTCTCCTACCTCAACCTCCTGAGTAGCTAGGACTACAGGTATGTTCTACTGCACCCAATCAATAAAGCCTTTCTACAGCATCTTCAAAGATAATTATGATTTACAAACAATAAAGTGGTAACATTTTAATGTGTCACCCTTCTCTATTGTGGACATTTACAGTTTACAGATTCATTCTTACAAGAAATGCTTTGAAGAAAAAAAAAAGTACAATTTGCTCTAGGTAACTCTCCTCAAACCTTTGTTCTTTCTTTAGAGTAGTACAGCATGGTGTTTTAATCATTGTGTATAAAGTATGGTGTTAATTCCTAGTTTCCTGTGCTGCACTCTGGAGAACACATGCTTGGTACATAAGAGGCAGCACACACCTCCCTGTAGTTTTCCAGAGACTAAGGCTAGCCTGAGTTATAGCAAAAAGAATACATAAATAAAAAGAACATGAAAAACACACAAGGGTTGTTTTAAGAAAAAAGAAAACTTTACAAATTACACACACAAAAAAATTACACAGTAAGGTAAAAAATGAATCTGCAAATACATGGAATAAGATCTTTTCGTTATACAATGAATATGAACATAATTGTTTTTTTTAATGAGTACATACTTGCACAGTATAAGAACTTTAAAAATCAGATACTTACTGTGTAATTGAATTTTGAACGCTCTTTTCATTTAATGTCATTCCAGGAGGTGGATCATTTTGCAAAGCCAACAGTTCTTTCTGTAGTCGTTTCTAGAAAATATCAATAGTAATTTGTACTTTTCATCTTTCCTCTATACAGTCTAAAATTGGTGATTAAATTTCCTTCCAATGCTTGAACCTCTTTCTTTACAGGGCCCTTGAATCTCTCTACAAAGCATCCATACTTAATCCTTAAACTATGGTCTGCCCTACAATTCACAACCAGTGTTGGAGTATTCCAATCCCACAATACTGCTGTAAGCAGCTCTGAAGGGCAGCCCCTTCTTCACGGCTACTTCACTGAGGGTGCAGAGCTTCAGCAGTTACTCTAACTTTGGAGATAGAGAAGTATTCCAGGGAAATTATGGAAGTAACTTATTACACAAAAGCCTTCTGAAAAACAATTTAAATTCAACTCATAACCTAATTCTGTACTTATCTTCTTAAATAGGATTATCTGAAAATGATTCACTTTTAATGGCTATTTTCACTGTACATTAGAAGGTTTTTTTCTCACATACTAGATTTCTAAATGGCTTTACGTTTTGCACTTTTTGCTTGTTATCAGTAGACAAAGCCACAGTAAAACTGTCACTGTATAGAGAGAGTACACAGCAAGGCTGTATGTTTAACCCTCAACATTACAAAACACGTAACTAATGTTATTGAAATTGTATGCAAGATTATAAAGATCCTTTTAAATCACATTTTATTACTTTACTTGAGCTGGAATCCTAACTCTGGTCCTCTGGAAGATCAGCTAGTACTCTTAAACTACTCACCCATCTCTCCTGCCCCAAATTACTTATTTTATTTTTTAAAAATCTGTGTGAGTGCACAGTTGTGGCAATCAGAAGACAACTTGTGGGAGCCATTTCTCTTTCTACCATGTGGGGTCTTGGAGATGGAATTCAGGTTGTACAGGCTTGGTGATTAAGCACCTTTACTCACTGAGCATCTCACTGGCTTCTTAATTCCTAATTCTCTCATTTTTGTTTTTACTGTTTTCTTTCCCTCTCCCCCTCCCTCTGTTCCTCCAGCTCTCCCTCTGTCCTCTCCCCCACCCCCCCCAAATTAGTATTTTTGCCTACATGTATGTATGTATACCATATAATCCTGTATGCCCAATGCCCTCAGAAGTCAAAAGTGTGCATCCAATACCCTGGAACTGGAGTTAGAGACGACTGAGAAACACCATGTTGGTGCTGGGAACTGAAACAGGTCCTCTGCAACAGCAACAAGTGCTCATCACTGGTAAGCCATCCCTCCAACCCCTGGGAGCTAATTCTTAAGAGTTAAAAAAATGAATATTTATAACTCAAATAGATTTTCTGCTTTAAAAATGGTCTTTCAGTCTAGTGCAATGATATATTCCATTCCAGAACTCAGGAACCTGAGGTGGGATTATGAGTTTGCAGTTAGCCTGGACTACATAGTGAAATACTACTTTGGGGGGTCGGGGAGAGGACAGAGGGAGAGCTGGAGGAACAGAGGGAGGGGAAGAGGGAGAGAAAAAGAGAGCTCCAAATAATGGAACCCTGCCTAGAGTATTTCAGAAGCCTATCTCAGTGGCCACATTCTGAACAGTTTTGTGGTTCCTCCTCTCTGGAGGACTTCACTAAACAGAAAAGATGCTATAACGTAATCAGTCCTGCTCTGTGTCCATTCAAACAAACGCACAGTGATAAAGACAAACTTAATACACTAAATGCGGCCCTAGAGTAATCAAGAAAGGAGACTAGCTGATGAACAGAAAGTCTAAGATTTTAATTATCAGCTGTCAAAAACAAATGCAGTACTCTTTCTGAAGCCTAACATTGTGCCCTCTCAGCATGCTTACTGTTAATGGATCTATCAGTAACAACTGCTGTGGTACTAGTGAAGTTTATAACCTATCTGACTCGCTCTAACAACTTGACGGTCTTGTTTTTCTTTGTTTTTAAATTGCCATATGATTACTGCTAGTAATTTGTAAAGTCTGGAGAAGTTACAAATACTTAATTTTCATCAAACGAAAAGCACCGGCAGGTCTATGTCTGAGCACATTTTGCGCAACTGTGTTAGCAGACTACTTTTTTATTACAGTAATGCAGTCTTTGCCTCTTTGGTTTCTGATCACTTTTCCCAATGTATGTGCTTGGGTACTAGTTTGACAGTTTTGCTGTTTCACATAGCAGGATGACGGGTCCTTCAAGAACCTATAGCTAATTAACATGAACATGACTCTATTTAAGAACCTATAGCTATTTAACATGAACATGACTCTATAGAAGATTAAAGACTATATCAAGAAAAATATTCCCAGTTTTAAACTATGTAGCTTATATCACAATCTAAAAAGCTTTTTCATTTCTAAAGTGGCTCCACTTTGACATTAATTCAGTTTTCTAAAGATTCATTTGTTATTTATGTTTACATTTGTCTGCTGTGTGTACATCCTCTGACGACAGAGGCCAGAAGATGCTGAATTTCCTAGAGCTAGAGTTACAAGTACTTGTGAGTTACCAGAAGAGAAAGCCAGGATCCAACTCTGGTCTTCTAAAAGATCAGCTAGTCTCTTAACACTTCTCCAGCCCCACAGTAATTTGTTTTTCTATGTGCCAGCATGTGCCAAAAGCAGAACAGAGTAAATCCTTAATTAACACTGGCAACAACAATACATCAACTGTCAAAATTGACAAAACCCTTTTCTTACTTTCAAAAGGGGAAACTGACAATAAATATGTAATAACAAAGGGCTCTATATGGTATATAAAAATGGAATGAATTAAAGGTATAGGTAGGCTTTACATCATATGAAGTTTTATCTCAAACTGAAACCCTGAAAAGATTTTTGTGTTGGTGTGAGCATTGTTTTTGTTGGGAAACTATTTTAAAGAGTAGAAATTCTCACTGAAGTTAAAAAGAAATACAAACAAGAGAAAGGAAGAAATTCAAAATGAAGAGTTAGCTGGGTGTGGTGGGCTAAGCCTTTAATCTCAGCAACTGGGAGGCAGGTCTCTGAGTCTGAAACCAGCCTGGTCTACACTACTATTTGCAATCCAGCCAAGGTTACATAGTGAGACCCTATCTTTAAAAAAAGTATGTGGGGATAGAGAGATGGTTCAACAGTTAAGAACACTGGCTGCTCTTCCAGAGGTGCTGAGTTCAATTCCCAGCACCCATATGATGGCTCACAATCATCTAGAGTGGGAACAAATGCCCTCTCCTGGCATAAAGTTGTACAGGCAGACAGAGCACTCATATACATAAAATAAACCAATCTTTAAAACAAGGGTATGTCACAGAGATCTGCCTGCCTCTGTCTCCTGAGTGCTGGAATTAAAAGCAAGCACTACAACAGATATAATTTTTTAATTAAAAATATTTTTTTAAATTCCCTAGTCCAAAAAAAAGTATGTAACAATGGTCTCTAGTGTAACAGTGTAGATTTAAAGACTATCAGTGGATGTGGCTCAGTGGCAGAATGTCTACATAGTATTATTGAGGCCCTGAGTTCAATCCCCAGTACCATAAAAAACATTACCAAGATGGCCACCATTGTTTTCTCCAATGTCATCTAGCTGACAACTAAAGGTAGAAAGCAAACCACAGGAGAGCATGATGTGAGAAGAAAAAGAACCCTCAATACAATGACAGCATTACAGTATCAGCCATATTGACATTCCCCAGCCCTCTCGTTTTCTTGAGACAGGGATTCATATAGTCCAGACTGACCGAAACTTGTTATAACCAAGGATGACCTTCAACACTGGACCACCTTCATGTGCTAGCCTTTACACATGGAGGAGCATGCCACCACACCCAGCTGTTACCCTGGGCAAGACATTAAGAATTAATTTTAAGCCAGGCATTGGTGGTGCACACCTTTAATCCCAGCACTCGGGAGGCAGAGGCAGGTGGATCTCTGTGAGTTCGAGACCAGCCTAGTCTACAAGAGCTAGTTCCAGAACAGCCTCCAAAGCCACAGAGAAACCCTGTCTCGGAAAACAAAACAAACAAACAAACAAATTAATTATAAATACTACAAAATAGTCTAGCAATGCAATAATTTGGCCTTATCTGCATAAAGCAAAAAACAAATGAAAGTTCCTCACCACTGAATTCTGAGTACATCTTCTATAGACTTAATCTCTGACAGTTGTTGTTACGTTTTTCCTCTTTAAGGAAAGGGAGAGCCTACAACAAAGGTTTCATTCTCTAAACCCTTTCTACATTCTGAAAAGGATCCAGAAAGTGAAAAGTATGACAACTGAAACTCTCCAGGAGCCCACAGCACAGGGGACCTGTAAGTCCAACACTCACTGTGACTGAGGCAAGAGGACTGTACATTTGAGGCCAAACTGTGCTACAGACGCTACTAAAGAGAGGGGTAAAGGTTATGCACTTCTCCATACCCAAAAGGTACAGCAGAAAAACTGCTATACACTGAAAGCCAAAGGAGAAATGTGTCAAAGCATAAGGGGGCTTCCACTCCCAGCACTATACAGCAGGGTGGATACCTGGGTAACACTAGAAAACAAAAACAAAGTGAATATAGTAACTCTGAAATCCAAGAATCCAGATTGATGGCTGGGAGGCCAGCATAGGACTGATCCAGACCCCCTTGAACATGGGTGTCAGTGAGGAGGCCTCGGCAATCTATGGGGGTCTCTGGTAGTAGATCAGTATTTATCCCTGGTGTATGAATGGACTTTGGGAACCCATCGCACATGGAGGGATGCTCTCTCAGCCTGGACACATGGGGGAGGGCCTAGGCCCTGTGTGGGATGACATGACATACTTTGAAGATTCCCCACGGAGGGCCTCACCCTCCCTGGGGAGCAGAGGGGGACTGGGGTGGGGTTTTGGGGAGACTGGTAGGGGGAGGGAGAAAAGGGGAGCAAGAGGGAGTTGGGATTGACATGTGAAGCAAGCTTGTTTCTAATTTAAATTAAAAAAAAAATTCAAGAATCAGAGCTATACTTACAGTTTATACTTCAACCAAACCTGAATATATCATTTTAACAACAACACATCCAATCGGAGGAAGGGGGAGAGATTACACACTAAATAAAGCATATCTATTGACAATTACTTCACT